TGACAGGGACGTCACTGCCTAATGAACATAATGATTGATGAAAAATTAGACAAGCAGCTAATTATATCATTGGTAACACACTGGCACTGAGCCCCCGGGCCACTGTGGATGAACATTGTCGGATATGATGCTGAAGCTATGCCAAGCACAAAATAAACAACTGTAAAAAATTTTTTTACATTTTCAAGTTAATTAATTAAATGTCCTCTTTTCCTGTAGCTTTTGCATTTGCTGATTGCTGTGCAGATTTAATGGCATTTCTTGCTTGATTGTGGTGAAATGGAGCTTGAGGGAGAACAGTTGCTTGCAGCAGTTATCGTAAGTGCAACTAAGGATTCGGCAGCATCCCGTTGGGTTAGTTGGCTGTGGTCTGTATGCTCAAAGTTGGCTTTAAAATATGTTGAGTTCAAGCACTGCCACGGTCCTTTTTAGTCATCAAATTCCACTGAGTATAGTGTGACTTTCTGTATGAGTGGAAATGGCTTGTATAATTATGCACACTGTAATAGATAGGATAAGCTGGGATGTGGGCTGTGCTATCAGCAAAGGACAATAAATAAAACAATAAAGATTAAGCAAGAAAATGGAAAATCTGAAAGAGTGCTGAATGCAATGAAATCATTGCCTTGTCCCGAATACTGACACACACCAAAAATAAACTATGATAACTATATTACATATAATAGGGTTGATAAATACGCGAACTGCATCTTAAGTTATCCCAATCAAATTTTCAAGATGCAACACTGAATCATGTCTTCAGTTCTTCATAGTAAAACAGAGCAGGGACATTGAGATACACTAACTCCTGCTGTGGTGCTCCTGCCTGGATTTCACTGTTATACAAGACTGCCATCTGGTGGTTAAACAAGTCACCATGTTCAGTGTGTGCATTTGCGAGGAGCATCTTTGACAAAGTCTTGGAAATGCAGTGACTACTGGCTGGATGCAGAATAACTTTGACCTCCATCCATTTCAATATAAAGTCAACAAAACTAAGGTTACATTTTAAAGGAATAACCCATAGATAAACAACAAATACTTGGGGCTTTAGGGGGAGTTTTAATCTGTAACTACTTCTTCACAAACCACGGCCAGGTGCAGTGACTGTGAACTGTGCTTCAAAGTCTTTCAATGAAATGAGGTTGCCAGGTTTGGTAGGGCTGAGCCTGCACAGAGAGCCAAACAAAAACCTGTGCCTGTTAAGAATATAGTTCAAGAATATAGTTCACACCTAACCCCCCCTTATGATCTCAAACTGTCATCTTTATACCTCTTTCTGCAAAAACAAGATAACTGCTTTAGATGTGTTGGTGCTTTGGGCAATTTCACTTTGGGCAGATTTGGGCAACTTGTTTCCCCCGATCTAGTCCATATGCTTGGCTAATCATATCCTGACTGCAGCTTGATGCACAAACACAAAATTAGCATCAATTTTCCCCATTTTATTCTCAGAGAGACAACAAATAGGTGTTTGCAAAAATGTTAAACTGTTCCTTTAACACAGAAATACAAAAATTAACTTCCTTTATATAGTGTTTTTTTAAATAATGCTATCATCAGGAGGAGATGTGCATGGACTTTAAATGCATGTAGATTAATGTATTTCTGTCTGTTTCTTGTTAATTGCTTGACTTTAAGCACAATTTTATTAAGGTTTTCGTCAGCGCTCTTATTATACAACACACTTAGGTAAACATTACATATTACGCATTGTGTGATAGCTTCAGTATGTTCTTGGGCGTAATGTTGCACCAACTTCCATTAAGAAACCTGTCGTATCAGGGCTTATATGTCTACGTATGTCCACTTTTTACCTGGTATGACCACTGTTATTTACCAGGGATGTGCACACACACATAGATAGGGGTTGCTTCCCCCCTGTTTTAGGTGTCAGCAGAGTTGGGTAAGGGTTACTTTAAAAGTAATCAAAGTACTTTACTGCGTTACTCCCTGAGTAAAGTAACTCAAGCACTTTTAAAGTACTTTTGAGTATTCTACATTTCCTATTGGGCAATGGACCACAGGGCGCTAAGCCTACGTGTTTTTGTCTCCAAAATTAAAGTTACGGACCACTTGCCCTTCACTGAGATCCAATTCTCCCATCACAGCCGTCACTTTGACCAGTAGAAACACAGAACGATCTGCTGCCGTAGACAACTGTATGACAACAACACCCCAGCGTTTTTATTATTTCCTCTAGGGATGTTACCACACAGAGTAAAAGGGGGAAATGATGGTGTGAAACAGCAGAGGCACTTTGTCAACCCGCTGAGTTAACGTTACTGTCATTAGCATCAAGCTAGCAAACAATGGTACATCCTCACGGTCGGACATAAAGTAATAATATTAACAAATAGCGGAGGGGCTTTTACTCACCACAACTGCAGAGGCTCCCAGCTTCATTGGAAACTTTATTTAAAGTTAAACTTAATTGAAACTTTTATTTATTAATCTCTCTGTATCTTTATATTTTTACTTTTTATCCGCTCTGTTGTCTTCATAAAGTTAACACATTGCGCCGTCATTTCAAACTCAACACTTCCTGAATTTCTTTCAAATTAAAAGCCCCTTATAACCTCAGCTGAGAGAATCCCTCCATTTTCTAAATAGGCTTTTATTGTGAAACATTTGTCAGGACTTCCTATGGAGGATACAGTAGCTTGAATGTTTGCCTACTGTACTTCAAATGTAGCTCCTGCCATCTGCTGATGCTTTTAGGTGACTACAACAACATGTCGGCTGGCACGTGAACAGACACAGTGACTGAAATAATAGTAAAGGTAATAAAAATAGAAAACCCAAAAGAATAACCCAATGACATCACACACATCATGAAAGACGACCAGGGATAATTGGTGAGTACCATCGCGTAGTGTGTCATGTCTGTCGGCCAAGTCACAGCATGATTGTCTGACTCCACAATCGTGCAATGTGACATAGTGACTTTCAGAAAAGTCGTGTAACATTAGCGTGTACCAGGCATAATGCAAATCATCCTTTTTTTTTTTTTCTCTACCTGTCTGCATTGGTCTTCGTAGCTTAGCGCCACAAAAGGGTGTAAGCTTCTTATGAAGATTGATGCACTGTTAATCTTGCAGTCAAGTATTTTATACTCATACTGAGCGTGGTTGTGACCGTCACCCACCCTCCCTGGAGACTAGCCTATCAGCCTTTATTGGAAAAACTTCCTAATATGAGCCAGAGAGGGCCGTGATACACCAAAGTGTGTCAAGGGGAAAGTAAGGAACAAGCAGGGGGGATTGAGGGGCAGGTGCTTAAGTCCTGAGTTATATAGCGACAGTGCATGCGGAGAAGAAGGAGGAAAAAACAAACAAACAAACAGAGGAGAAACAGAAAGTGTAGTTGATGTATTGTGGCCTTGAGGTGGTTGTGCTCCATACAGATTATCAAAAATAAAAATAAACATATACATGTCTACTGTACTGTACTGAAAAACAAAAACAAAAGAGAAGTCTATACTGAACACCAAAAATGTGAGAGTCCTGGTGGAGGGGGAAAGCCCGATTGTGGAGAAGAGTTGCCAGAGCAGTGTGGCAGGTTCGAGAAGCAAGTGGGCCCCTTTTAAGTGATCCCATCGGTTCTTTGCGATTCGTCACGGAGCTGAAGTATCGAACGTGCATGCGTGTATTTGAACCCTCCCAATGTGTTTATGAAAACCATCACCAGGGTCCAGGGCCAGCCTTGTGGGGGAAGGCGGGCGGTATGGCACCCCGAGACTGCAGGAGCGCCCAGACCCCACGCCCAGGGAGCCGCAGATGCAAATGCAAATCCTCCTGAGTCTGAAATATGTCTGTCAGCGAGTCCTCCTCCACCTTTTTTTAGACTTCACCGTAGACAATGGCAGCATTTCTTCTACCACGTAACTAGCCACAAGCTTCATGACTTCTTTCAAACTGATAGGTTTAACATTATCTCCATTATTAGAACCAAAAGACAGTCGTTGCTGTTTCGGAGCTGAAGGACCAGCGTTCTAAAAGTAACGGAAGTAACTGATGTCTTGTTTGAAAATGTACTCAAGTATTTGATTACTCAAACAGCAAACTAACGTGTTAGGTTACTTGTTACTGCAAAAAGTAATCAAAGTACTTGCGTTATACCCAACTCTACCCATCAGCACGTTCCTGAGTGGTGTAAAACATGGTCTTTAAATAAACCACAAAATTAATTTTAAAGATTAAAAATGAATTTAAATTCTGGAACTGCACACTAAATTCTTTAAAACTGCACACTGTTAGTTTTAGTTAACATAAAACCCATGTCCATAGTCAACCAGGTCAGCTTGAACATACACCATTTTTGCTCTATTAATGCCATTCATCTACACCTTTTGTTTGACCCCTGCAAATGCAGGACTTCTTTTGAATGTGCTATCTCAGAAGACTGTTAAACAAGTAGTCTGAATTCAGATCTACAAAGTTAAACTCCCCTTAGCTGCCTCCCTCAGCTCTTTCTTTCTCTCCTGTCTCTCTCCTGCATTTAGCCTGCAGCCTATATGTTAGCCAGCTAGCTACTTGGCGAAGATTGATTCATGTCATAGGATACTATAAGGCAATATAGCACTGTATATGAAGATTCGTATTCACAGGGCATCCAACTGGTCAAACTATTTGTTGTTCATTTCTACAAATTAAAGAGACTCACCCACCAGCGCACTCAACCGTCAGCACCACAACAACAGTGTCACATGACAGGAGTCATAGGGCGCATTTTGTGATGTTTCCTTTTTTCTCTTCCAATTTGGTCTACATCTAATAACAAAGGGCTACTCACATTTTGCTTTGACAACAGCAAAAATAAAAGTTGTTTTTTTCCATCAGAAGGGCTGCACAGCCAAAGAGGGCAAATGGGCTGTTGCTTAGGTGATTTAAGCATGTACCTCAACATATCCCTAGATCATACCATGTACAATCACACAGGACAACCCTGTATATTGTATCTTAGGAAACCTGTTTGTTTGTGTGTTTCAATTCTCTTACCCAGGTCCAGCCTCTGGCACAGTGAGCCCAGTCCCTGCAGCACAGCCAGCTGCAGTTTGTAGGCCAGGGTGTGTGTGTAAACGGGTCCAGCCTTGGCGCTAACTGGCGCCTGCCGTGCCAGCGAGGAGCTCAGCTTGGGCAGTACCTCTTTAGATACCCTCCTCCTCAGAAAGTCACCACATGTTTCACCCAGCGTACACAGCACCTGGCAGAGAGACTCAGCATGTAAAGTCTGTACGCAGCAAGTCTTTAAAATGTAATAAAACGTCCCTGTAGTGTGTCCTTCATTAAAGCATCTGACAAATGACACCGTTTTATCCCCAGGATGAGCCACAGTATTTATAAAACCTGGACCAAACCCAAAAGCTGCCACATTGCTGGTGGCCACAGCACAGTTTGACAGCAGCAGTGATGAGCAACTAAATGACAATTTACAAACCACTTCTGTCTGATTTTGTCAATTCATCAGGAAAAATATGAAAAAAAAAAAGAACCAAAGATAGTCCAACTAAAGACAGGTTTGACAAGCAGACTAATGCACAGTGACAGTAGATCAATTGACACCTGTACTTTGAGAATTGATCACAAACAAAGTGTGATCTTCAGTCATCAGGGAAAAAAGGTAGAGGGCCATTTTCATCCTCTATGATTCTCTGAAATAGCTTGAAAAGTCAGCTCTGAGAAGACAATTCACAACACAATGATACTCCCTTCTTGTTAGTTTACAGCTGGAGTGCAAAATGTTTGTCTCCCCCCTCTGGCTATGAGAGTAGTTACACAAACAGTGTTGACATGCGCTGATGTCCTATGCCTGCAACTAAGCTCGCCACATCTCCCCTGCACCCCGGAGTGCTCTCTTCAAGTCTATTTTTTCCATTTTAAGCCTTCCTCTGAATGCCAATTTCTTATCTTTTTCAATCAATCAATCTATCAATCAATTTATTTGTCACATGAAATCATAAAACATGATTAAAGTGAAATGGAGCAACCATTGCAGAAACTTTTCTTGGACGCATCTTGGGATTTACAACATATCTTCTGCCTTTTGCTCCGTCACTATCAGTTCTCCACCCTTCCTGCCCTTCCCTTAACAAGGGCTTTGATGTGAAGGACTCTCCCTTATATGTAAAAGTCCCACACTCCATATTTTAAAAGGCTCTACGTGAAATTTAGAGCATCAGTATTCTAGATATGGTTCTCTCCAACGTCGCTTTGTGACGATGCATCCCGATATCAGTGGTAACCGCTGTATTAGCACGTGCAAAGCCGTGGTGATGAGCCAGCCAGTGGGATACACACATGCGCAAACTTTCAAGCGGCTGGACCAGCTTACCACAACAAACCACAGAGAAGCTCAGATTACAACACACACAGAGGTAGCATGACTTAATTTTTTTGCTAAGGACAGCAAATAGTAGATTGCAGCTATATTATTGCTCTGAATGTCACATACAGAACCTTTGAAATGTTTTGGAAAAAAAAAAAAAAAAAAGGTTTTCCAGAATTACAAACAATGAAATAGCCTGCCAAATGTAACCATAGTAGATATTTCATAATGAACTGAGACAATACTTGTTCCCAAAGCTACAACTTTTGATTGATTCAACATGGGCACATTTCAATAGGCTATTTTGATTAAACAAAAATGTAGTCGGACCTGTTACCATGCTGTGCATAATGACAGTACAGTAATTTGATCCTGAGAATGTAGTACAAGATTAAAGAACTTCATGTGTGCTTTTTCACAATATCCAGCTGCAGACGTTATGAAATGATCCACTGACACATTAAAGGTGATTTGAACATTTTTTACTAAGCTAAGTAATTTGAAAGACAGACTTGTTTCACGTACCCTGAAGGCTCTGAGGACTGCTAGAGGGTCATCAGCTGTGAGTCTCTGTAGGAGGGCGGGCCAGCACCGATGAGCCATGGGCAGCAATTCATTTTCCTTCTCACTCAGTACACACACACACAGCTCCAGCACGTCCAATACCTTAAGACAAAGACATGCAGTACAGACAAAAATATATATTTGGTATAGAAAAGGTTTCGTTCATACTAAATGTACAGGGGGGAATTTTTATATAACTCACACATTTAAATGTTGTTAAGGCTTGAAGTTACACAGACTTGAGGGTGTGGCGACTTTGAATGACAGGAAAGTGCCAAGTTGCTGACAAGCAGCTACCACAGCGACAATATTGGTTATGTAATGTAACCCCAGATTCACATTCACAGGGTAGAGCTGTAGTTGTAGCTGTCACTATTTCAGTGTTTTCAGTTCTTGAAAGTTAACTGTAACATTTTGGTCTAAAGAGTACTTAGTTTTCTGATAAGTTCATTTTATAGTAATGGTTTTAATCCTGGTTTTTGCTAGCAAAAATAAGCATTAGCACAGTTAACAATACTAGTAAATGCACTGTGCTAACTAAGCTAGCAGCTAGCATTAGGGTTAGCTCCACCCTCTCGTATGGTCGCTCCTGGATCAAATTAAAAAAAAAAAAAAAACTATACGGCAACAGCCAAAATGTGAAACTGGAGGCTTCAAAACAGGAGACCACAAACCAATGGGTGATGTCAGGGTGGCCACATCATTTTTTTAGTGCAGTTTATGTTTGGAACATACTCTTTTTCCAAGTCTACAATTTTGGAGGATGACAGCTGTGCTGGCTCACTAGTGTGTGTAAATATATAACATTACAGGTGTTTCAGCTGACATGAGGTTGCATACTGTAAACAATACAACAGTCAACAATACAACAATGCAACTTTCGGATCTTCATGTGTGGCTGAGCGATTTTTCACACCAATAAAAAGCCATCACAGCGTACAGACAAAACTAATTTATTTCTACAATATCTACAGGTCCCTATACAAAATGAACAATCCTCACTAGGATTATTATCATCAAACCAACACTCCCCTTCACACTACATCACACTTCAGACAGTACCTTGAGTCGGAGCCTGAGACTGGGGTCAGACAGCAGATGAATGCAGCGCTCCATTACATCTTTAGTGATGCTGAGGTGGGAGGCAAGCTCTGCTTTCACATCAGGACCACCAATATCTTCAACATCCTCAGACTCCATGGGCGGAGGGACTTCTGGAGAGACAGTGATAGTCAGATTTGGGAAACACCCACTGTTGTTGTTGGGTCTTATTTTTAATACTTTAGTTATTCATACTGTATTTTCTGTCATAATAACCCAGTTTCTCTTCTGATAAGTTTCATCTAAAAAAAACCTCTACAACAATATCAAACCTATACTACAATGAAATATAATTTTCTGTTTTGCCCTCATACAGACACCATTTTGTATTACCAAGGTCTTCAGTGTCGTCTTCCTCTATTCCTATGCCCTCTGCCAGCTCTTTCTGTTTGCGGTGATCCAGCAGGAATTGGCGGATGTTGAAGACTTCTTTGTCAGGGGAGGTCTGCTTGGGTCTGGCAGACTCACTGGTCCTTCCACAACTAGAGGGAAACCACCTCGCTAAAGGAACAACATCAAGAGCAGATTAAGTTAATGACCCCTTGAGGTGTGTGATGCAAAAGTGGTAAAACTTTGTTAATATTTTGTTTCCATCTTTGCACCTCTTCTCAGTAATCAGTTGTAAAGTATCCTTAAATCTTCTGATTATAACTGAATTGAAAACTTAAGGTAAAGTGTAGCAGAGTATGGTATGGGTATGGAGAGTCACATGAACTATATGTTGAATATGCCCCTTATCCTTTTCAGCCCAACGATAACGTAATAAATAAGTTGACATCACTTTTGAAATCTCACCCAGTGCCTTCATGAGCGCGTGCAGCACAGAGCAGAAAAGAGCAGCTGTTTAGTCGTAGCTGAGATCCAGAGCCATCAGCACATCCTGAACGATGTCCCCGACCAGAGGCAGCAGGCTGCAGTCGGAGTGAGTCAACATCACTGTCAGCACCCGTGGAGCCTGGCCAACAAGACAATATGATGAAATACATGTTCAGGGCCCTGCAAACCCATGGAGACCCATTCACAGTATTCACATGGGTGATAAACCACAGAGGCGTGGACTCGGGACTTGGACATGAATCTAATGACTTTATCCTTAACTTGACAAAATCAGACTCAACTTTAACACCAATGACTTGTGATCTTATGTCACTTTAGCCTTTTGACTTGAAATGACTTGATATCCCACGCAAGCCCAAAGATTGTGAAATGAATGTAAATGAAAATCGTACGTTCTTCTTCATGCCTGGAAAGGGAGGGGTAAGGGGTGGGGTATTCAGTTGGTAGCATTCTGCAACCTCACCACTAGATGCCACTAATCCCTACACACTGGTCTTTTAATGGCCAAGAATTCCAGGGTTTCCCACACACTCATTTATTTGTGGCAGCCCGCCATGATGAAAACATTTGCCACCACGAATAGATTTTCTACTTTTGGAGGTGGACCGTTTATCAGGAGCACTGATGGAGTATATTATGTACAGTTCAGTTAGTTATAGTACCACACTGTCAGGGGATGCAGAGCCCCTGACAGTATACAGGTACATATTATTACTGAATTACGGAGGTTTCCCCAAACAAACAGATCAGGTGCTAAAAATTGTTGGCTCTATTTCATTATTTCTTGATTGATAGTGTGCATTCTAACAATGTGCCAAACTGTGTTAATGTTACCTGTGGATGCTGGCTGAGCCTCTGCAGATTAAGAGATATGTCATTGAGCAGATAGTCAGAGTTCTCATTGATCAGCTCCTTCAGAGAGGGGTAGCCACAGGCCTTACTGATGTCCCACATAGAGCCCAGTGCCGCCTGGCTGACCAGCAGTGATTCCTCTCCAGCTTTCTCCAGCACAGGGTACAGAGATGTCATCAAAAGGGGCCGAAAGTCACGCCCCAGTGCCTGAGCAAAGCAGGCGATGCCCTCCAGTTGGATACACAGCTGCCAGATATTGCTGTTGAGCTGGTGGATTGTTGAGGCGGAGGGTGAGGAAGATGGGGTGCCAAACGAAGAAGGAACCACTTGGAGAGAGTTTGCTTGAGTGTTGTTGACATTACTGTTGGATATGGAGAGGAGTCTGGATGGGCTGAGCAGCTACAGAAAGACAAAAGACAAATGTCATTATCATTCGTAGTACAGATTTTTTTGTACAATTCAATGATGTTTTAGTTGATAGACATAAAAGGTCAATATAAAGAAGATAAGTTTACACTGTGACACACTAGTGGACAGCTGTATTAAAACCTGAATGTACAAGGGGACATGAACTTGAAATCCTGCACCCTGTGGGTCATTATTACTGTTGTGTTTCTGCAGGTAGGCATCGAAAAATAAGACTCAATTCAATTAATATTTTCTGCTGAAGGTCTACTAACTGTAACACTGGTTCATGTCAGTGCTGCTGTAAGAAAATAAAGTTCAGTTTGGAATATTATGTTTCCCATTTCTTGTGTGATGCAGTTTGCTAATTGTTAAGCGAGGGATTAAGTTTTTGAGTTGATTTCGAGTTTTTGACCACTTACAGTATAGCGCTGTGGAGAGTTCTTTTGGGAGTAGGTTTCCATTTTGTAAGCATAATTTTTTTGCTGATAGTTGGTGGTAGCAAAGCAAAAAGTGTAGCAAATCCCAAGAGGCAAGAGAGGCAAGAGAGAAGACTGCTAGCAAGCAAACATGAATGCAAACTATGTAGGTTTTAAAACTCTCCAGGGTACCATTAATTTTACAAAGAAAAAAAAACCCAACTGAATGGGTACCTTTAAAGGCATATTGTACAGAAATTGTCAGTTGCTGTTTTTGGACACAGCAGTTAAACTTGGCCCCTCCCTACATCCACTGCAAGCTACTGTACTATTTTAGGAATTTGTTGGAATGGCAACATATTAGCAAGCTAACTAAACTAACCGTAACACTTATTTGTCTGACAGAAAACAAGCCACCTCCACATCGCTCTTCATCGCCATCCTGTCCTTCAGTGCTCTGCCAGGGAAAGTAAAAAGTGAATAACACCTCACTGTATTTGCATTTTTCCTGCACTGTGTCTATGATTTTTGTAGCTTCCTCTTGGATGTGCGCTGCTACTACATTTTTATAAAGTCCCGTACTAACCTGCTCACATCTTTGACTGGGGGTTACATGCCCACTAACATCCTAACTACAGCAAAACAGGAAGGAATTAGGATAATAAAGGCAGAGAGCAGGGTCTGTGCTGATAAATACACTGCCACACATTTAGGGGGGGTTGCGAGTGATGATTGAGAGGGATTACTTTGGTATAAGTCTATAAATTGTTTTTTAGGAAAACCCTACGTAGTACACTTTGACAAAGAAAGACAAAAAACTGTACGATGTACCTTTAATAATAATAATAAAAAACTCTACAGGGTACTTTAAATTTTATAAGAAAAAAAAAACAGTAGGCTAAGTACCTTTAATTTGAAAAAAAAAACAACAAAAAAAAAACAACTCCACAGGGAACCTTGAATTTTACAGAAGAGCAAGAAGCCGCAATGCTGTACCACTACGAAGTAAAGGGCAACATGGCGGTGTAGTGGTTAGCACTGTCTCCTCACAGCAAAAGGGTTCCTGTGTGGAGTTTGCATGTTCTCCCCTTGTCACCGCGGGTTTTCTCCACGTACTCCGGCTTCCTCCCACAGTCCAAAGACATGCAGGTTAATTTGTGACTCTAAATTGTCCGTAGGTGTGAATGTGAGTGTGAATGGTTGTCTGTCTCTATGTGTTAGCCCTGTGATAGTCCGGTGACCTGTCCAGGATGTACCCTGCCTCTCGCCCAATGTCAGCTGGAATAGGCTCCAGCCCCCCTGTGATCCTCAAGACGATAAGCGGTTACGAAAAAGCAGTTACATGTAACTAGTTTGGCTGGAGAGAGAATCCCACAACAGTCAATACATGTAAACAGTGTATGTTTCTGTGCTCAGAATCCTTTTCCTACCATGGTGTGCCTCTGGGCTCACATTTTAGCTGACAAGGAGAATGTTTATCTACAAACTAACACAGTACTGCCAATGTTGTCAGACCTCTGTTGGTTGGAGGCCCTGAAATATTTCCTCTGCCCTTCAGCTCAATAATCCAGCCTTGAAAGTTAAGAGCAGTTGGTTGAAACCCTTCTGCTCAGTCTGCAGGCATAAGCGCACGCAGCGGTCAGTCCAAGGCCATACTGTGAGAAAAGTATGGATATATTTCTTTGTTTGGAGTGAAGTGAACTGACTGTGATCACATTGAAATGCAGGAAGAGTTGTGCAATATGGACTGAGCATTGGAGCCTTGATTAGAAAATGCTCACAGAATACAAAATGAGATGTAAAATTTTTACATCAAAGTACCACTTCTTCATTCATCAGAATATCATTTCATGAAGAGCTGGATCATCTATTACAAGTAATGATCGTTCCCGGAGAGTTTGCGAATCAGTAAATTTAGCTGGTGATGATGCAATATTCAGCGGCAATAAGACAATCCATTGCCACATTGAATTTTTAAACTTTCAAAGACATTAAAGGAGTAGTTTGACATTTTGTGAAATGCACTTAAGCGTTAGATGAGAAGATTGACACCAATCTCATGTCGCAATGGCAAATATAAGGCTCGAGCAAGCAGTCAGTTAGCTTAGCATAAAGACAGGAAAACAGTGATTTCCTGGACCTAAAGGAGTCTTGCCGTGAGTCTGCCAGGCAACCAGGACTTGCATTGCCAAAGTTTTACATTCTAATTTTAATATGGATTGAACAAAACTATACAAAGTGTTAACTGGTTAGCTGCTGGTATGCGAATTTGCTTATCTTTGGACAGAGCCATGCTAGCAGTTATTAGCTAGCTGCTAATTACCTGCTAACTGTAGCTTCATACTTAGCCTACTGACCATAGACTGTAGAAAATAATGGACATAGCCACTGTGACTTCAGCAATCCGTTTACGGACTCGCATTCTGAAGCCTTGACTTTGTCATTTTGGCCATTTCACCATATTGCATTTTTGGATCCAGAAGTGACAATGTTTGGACAAGAGGGTGGAGCTAACCCCAACGCTGTGCGGTGCATTTACAGCTATAGTTAACTGTGATAACGCCAATGCTAATGCTAATTTTAAAACAAAAGTATTAGGCATAAAAATGGAATATCCAACTCCTATAGGGTCTTTTAGCACAAAACTTTTAACATGGGGGTCTATGGGGATTAACTTGTATTTGGAGCCAGCCGCCATTAGAGGAACTTAATGCACTTCAGCATTGGCTTTATTTTTCAGCCCAGGAGGTTGACGCTTGCTGTATCCATGTAAATGGTATTAAAAAGCATATTTCACAAAATGCCAAACTATTCCTTACTTATTCTATGTGCTAGTTAAAATCATCAAGTTAAAGTTTTGTCACGTGAAATACCATCAAACAAGTGCTAAATTTTAACAAACTAAAATCCTGATTCAGGACAAAATATCAAAGCTGCAGAGCTGAAATTCTCCTCACCTGCTGGTCCTGTCGGTCTCTATCCGTCTCCTCACTCACAGTAATCAAGTGCCAGTTGTTCAGACTGGTGTACTCCTCCATGATAGACACCACTGCCTCTTTTAGGTCTTCCTGGTTGGCAGAGTGTCCCCGAACTTGACCGTCCAAACCCTGACCCTCTGTTGCCACGGCGATGCCTGCAGCACCCCTGACAATCTCATTTAGCACCATGGCAGCCTGCTTTCTGTATGCTGACGACTGTTGGTACAGATCCAGGAAGTGATCTGTCAGCAGGTAAAGGTTGCCGTAGTAAGCTAAAGACAGAAAGAGAAAAAGTTACTTGCTATAATTTTGAGAGAGAAGAGAAAGAAAATGTCAAATATAAACCCTGAGGAAAAAAGATGTAGCCAGCTTTAATCCATTAAGCATCAGTATGAGCCAACTGACATTAGTCCAACTTCTTTATATTCCTTTTAAATAAATTTGAAACAGAAGCAAAGTGCTGTTATGCATGCAGATGGATTAGAACTGAGCTGTAGATCAATCTGATACAGTTTATCCCTTAAGTTCATATCAAACAGCACTCATACCTAATGTTCGACAGATCTCCATGAGCACAGAGAAGATCTTCTCATCTGTGAAGTAGAGGAAATGTTTCCTCTGTATGTGAGCAGTGTAAGAATCAGGAGAGCTTGAGCTTGTCTCAATTGTAGCAGCGTAACTCCTTTCCTCCACAATGCGAACATCCATCACATCCAGCTCCAGCACCTGTAAAAGCACATAAGACTGTTTGTTGTGTTTTTACCTGTTAGTGATTCAAGATGACTAACTTCTGTAAACTGTGGTTTAAGTTTGCTGCCCTAGGACGAAATCAGAGGGCAGGCAAAGTCCGACTCTATGAAGGGTCTCATATGAAACTGCCAAAACTTGCCTTGTACTCTCACAGTAAGGATGGCAACTTTGTCTTGGCTGTGTCACATGTTTTTTTTAAATAAAACAAAGAAATGACAGTTTAACCCGGTCACTGAAAAGCTTACATCCTATTAGAGATTCTATCAGAGTTGAACTTTTGGAATGCAGCAGTGCACAGTGCATGTCATGTGACTGGGAACAACCAATCAAAGCCAACAGATATCTTTCCCTTTATCCGTAAATATCAGTGTGTGATACATATGAAGAGGAGGTTGATCATATTAGTGTAGGGCTGTGTCATGGACAACAGGTATACACAAACAGCGCCTGGAAAAAGATCAGCTCTGCACTCAGGATTTCAGGGAAATAGGCATTAATACAGTGCCTCTAAAGGTTGCTTAACAACACTGAACGCAACCTGCTGCCGCACTCTTGAAAGCTGGCACAGAAATGGCAGGAGAGTAGCACCAAGCACCTGGCCGCATGTTTTCCTGGCAGTTAAAGACACGGCATGTGTATGGCCCCTAATTCTTCTCAGATGGAGGTCCCTGAAGCCAAATCTTGTCAAATGGGGAACAGTGACCTAATGTTTATCAAATCTGGGGTCCTTGACAAAAAACAAGTTGAGAACCACTGATCTGACACAGTGGCATTACCTGCATCAAGGCTTTGGAGATCCTCTCGAGATGTGCTGCTGAGTTTAGCACCACAGAGACCAGCGGTCCCAGGACTTTTAAATAACCCAGAAACACGTTGAGGACAAACAGCTTTTTCTGGTCATCAGAGGTCCTCATCAGTCTGGGCAGGGAGGTGGCCAAAGAGTGGAGGTTCTCTGAAAGTACGTCAGTGAAGGTCTGGGCACTGCTGCTGCTTTTGCTGGTATTATCACTGCTGCTGCTACGGCTCTGATTCCTCTGTGATACCTCCCTGAGAACAACTTCACACCTACGGCAGGGGAGAGGACAGGACAGGTTTCATTAAAAATCTTGTTATCAGGCAGTCTGAGCTATGAGATATTTTTCCTCACAAAAGTGTTCATCAAATCAAACCTCTTTCTAACTCTGGGCTCCTCATCATTGACTGCTCCCACCAGTGCTTCCAGTAGCGGCCCCACACACTCTCCCAGTGACTGGCTACACCTGGCCAGCAGGTGGTCATCCAGCTCCACCATCTCCAGTCGAACCCTCCAATGCTGGTGAGCTGAGGTGCAGGAGATGATCTTTTTCAGGAGCACAGACAGTTTTCCCGCAGTGCTCTTCACCCAGTCGGGTGTCCGATGGACAATCAGCTGGGCAATTCTCCCCAGCTCTGGTGAGGGAGTCTTCCAGGGCTCACTGGCCTGAAGCTGGGCATCTTCCATGACAAGCCCCACAGTCCTGGACCAAACCTGAATGACAGTAAGAGTGGAAAGTGATGACTGTGTGGCATAGAGGAATCATTGCATTAGTTGTGTTTTGATATAGTTTTGCTGACGTTAACCCACACAGACCCAGTCTTGTCTTTTTTTTTGGGGGGGGGGCTGTAAAGGGGAGACTCGTGGATACCTACACAACCCATTTTCATTAAGATATCTTGAGGTCAGAGGTCAAGGGACCTTGAAAATGCCCATGTTGTTTTTCCCTCTCCAAAATTTAGCCTAACTCTGGAGCGTTATTTAGCCCGCCCTCCTGAGAAGCTAGCATAACATGTTTGGTACTTCTGGATTCCTTAAGTCTTATAGGTTCTTATGATACCAGTATCATCATCTCATAATCTATCTTTAAATTTCAGCCTGCTACAGCCTCTTTAAGACAGGAAACACGACCGGGATTGCCGGCAACCCGGCGGGTCTCAGAGGGTTAAAGGCAGACCCCGATTACTTCAATTCATGCAGAATGTTTCCCTTTTTGGGATTCCCTGTTCACTGTGGAGGCATGCAGAACAAACAAAGTTGTCTTCACAAATTCAAGGTGAGTGAGGTGAGGCAGTGAGTGACTACTATACAAATGGTCATTCTGCAGGGGAAGTATTCCATTCAACTGACAGTAATAGTTTAAAATGTATTAGTAATGGATTAGCTTATAAAATGGACTGCTTTTGTCTGTATTATTAATGCTGTGACCTGGATATTTAAAGTCATTGCTGAGGGGGTCAGCCAAAAAAAGCAATTTGACGTGAAAAAAAAAAAAAAAAAGACGTCACCTTGGAGTCCGGCAACTCACAATAGACATTTTTCACTATTTTCTTATCAGTTAAAATGAGAAAAAAATCAACACATTCATTGATAATAATCAGGGTTGCAACTACTTATTATTTTCTTACTGACTCATCCGCAGATCATCTTATTGATAAACCAATACATTGTTTGGTCTATTAAACCTTAGGGAATAGTGAAAGATGTCAGCTTTCTTGAGCTCAACCGAAGATATTCAATTTACAATAAATGTAAGACAAAGAAAAGCAGCAAATGTTCATATTTAAGAAGCTGAAACCAACCTTGACTATGAACTTTAAATGACAATAATAATATTAAAATATGTGCAGATTAATTTTTTGACTAATTGGTTCATCCACTAATCATTGCAGCTCTAAAAACAATCCTTAGTTGCAGTTGTTTTGTGTGGAATGTAGTCAAAATACACACATTGTAATACAGGACTGAATACAGATTAAAACCTGAAAGACATCGCCAATTAAACAATGAATATTTTTAACAGGTTATGAAGCATTTGAGATATTTAAGCATGACTGTACAGTACTGCATCATTACACCAGGAAATATGAATGAATACAGAAATGTTGTACCTTGATGGCCCTGACTGTGACTGCATGGCCTTGTCTCAGATCTCCTGTAATGATCCTGGCCACAGCCACAGTGATCCCTGGTAAGAAAGAAGCCATGGTGGTGCCTATAGCACATCTCTCCACTGAGGATGGGACTACATGCTCCTGAGTGCAGTCACACTGTAGAGTCAAAGCCTGGAGGCACTTCAACGCTGCTGCTTGCACATCTCGAGATTTCTCCTTCTCTCCTAAAGCCAGCAGGAGTGATATGGCAGCTCCCAGTCCGGGCAGCATAATCGGTTCAAAGAGTTTGAAGACTATATCGCCATAAGCAGCATGAAGCAGTGCGTTCAGGCACCTCAACACAGCTGATTTCAGCTCCTCTGATGTATCTGCAGGTTTCCCAGGATCGCTTGGAGAGCACAGGCAAAGGCACAGCTCTGAGAGGAGGTCACGGAGGGTCTCCCAGCTCTGGACACAAGTGTTCTCCAGGACATGGCTCATGGCCTCAGCCACAGTTTGCACCAATTTGTCCTTCTTGGGCCTGGGGACTTTAAGGACGAAGCGAAGAGGGAAGAGGACATACTCTTGGAGCTGCTGCAACGTGGCATCGTTGACTTCTTTTAACTGGGCACTCAGCGTCTCCACATTGGACACAGTGGGTGCTTGGGTGAGGAGGACACAGGCTGGGCGCAGGTAGGCAAATGCGATCTTTGGATCACTGATCTGAGCCATGACTGGAGGCATGACAGCACAGTTCACTATAATGAGGGGTATGAAAAGAGGAATGGAAGATGCAGGAGTGAGAAGAAGAAAACTCATGACTTTTCAAATACTGTAGAAGAAACTGAAATGAATGTACTCTTAGAGCTAAAATAATTTACATTTTGACTTGGAAAATAAATCTGTAATGGTCACCTGCCATGCTAGCCAGTAACTTTTTAAGGTGATACTTAAATCCCTTTTTCCACTTCTGGCTGTCCTTACAATTTGTAAATCTCTAAATCTGACCAACTGTGATAGGTGATTTTGTGATACCAACAATGACTCTTGAAAAATCTCTTGACTGGAGACATACCTGCATGTGGCAGGGAAACTAAAAATTTAATTGTTTGTCTAAAAAGGAAGTGGTCAGACATCCAGTGGCCAAGAAAATAAACCGTATACTCTCTGAATGTTGATGCACCCCTGAGTGGTCATGGTGGTACCCTCTGGCCAGAACTTACTAAGGGACTGTTCATTATTTATGAGGGGGTAATAGGGTGGTACAAAAAGGAGGAGGCATGTCCAATAATTTTTTAAGCACTGGGGAGGGACTCACATTTTTTTCATTTAGGCTCAAGAGAGGGGCATACAGATATAAATGGTTGCATTTTGTATTTATTTTACTGCCCATTTTTAAAACCTGCAGGTTTGGGAGGAATGTTTTGGAAAGATTTGCCAGAAGGACACCATTTATCATAGCCAGAAACTGTAAAAACACACATTTAGACACATCATGTGTAACAAACACTTCCGTCAGAGAATTAACATAGTCAAATCTGAGCATACAATAATGATATTTCATCAAAATCACTATATTCTTTGTCTTGCTTAAAATTTTGCCTTCCTCTGATAAATAAAGAACAGTCCATACTAAGGAAAAACTATCAGAGCTGCTTTATCCTTGCTGCCTCCTAAATGTTGTTAAAATAAAATGAAGAAGTCTATGATAATTTACTAAACTGCCTGTCAGCAGGTTGTGGTAATGTGGCAGGTTGTGGTGATGTGGCAGGTTGTGGTGATGTTTTGTATTGCCTGAGAGCCTGCCCTGACATTCTGGATTAAGGTTTGTAACACCAGAAGACAGACACATAGCAACAGTATGTCTATACAGTAACAGCAAACCATCACAGCATCGATGTAGTCTTGTAGTTAACTGACAGCATCCAGCATGCTGCTGAAGCTGCGCTGCGGTACCAGCGTCAACAAACAGGAAGCCTACCTTCACATTAGTAGTAACGTTAAACGGACCCACTGCGCGGAGCAACAAGTCCATAGAAAAGGGCTTATTTCAATAGAAAATAATTATAACATTACACACTGATGAAGTTGCTGAACTCTACCTTCAGCAACGTCATGATTTTGCGTCGACGACGCACATGTTTAACGTAAGCAAAAGACGATGCTTCCGGGTTTGACGATTTACCTTCAAAATAAGAGGATGTGAAGTCTTACCGTGGAAAAGAAAAGCATTTAAACTGTGTAATAATCAGTGCTTTCATCATAGAAATGTATGACTCTTGTCAGGTCAATGTAGCATTGCCAAAGTGAATAGCATATTTAGGTTAGTGGTCATTAATACTCATTAAATTATTTTAATATATAGAGCTGTTATTTCTTTGTTCAAAAAAGCTACCATGTGAAGATGGTCTTATGAAAAGTATTCTCTCGCATACTTTAAGATGCGAGTTTAACACTAACAAGCGGTATCTTATATTTGTGCTGTCAGTAGTTAGTTAGCTGTGGTCAAAACCATCCAGTGTCTGGTGACATTTGTTTTATTTTGAAAGAAACGGCAATTCACAACCTAGGTAAGTCCACTGATTCTTCTGCTAGCTTGATACTGAACCGGTTCATGTTTTGACTACTGCACCATGTAAATTCTGCTACTTGAATTACTTAATTTCTTAACACAGCACCTCTTTTTCATGGCTGTCGCTTTTTCTGTCGGTACAGTGGATGTCAGACAGGTAGCCTAATTGCTAAGGTAATGCCAGTGTTATTTTAATCATATGTAAAAGTTACATTAGCTCAGCGTAGATACTGCTAACAGTTAGCTAAAGCTAACGTTACCTCCGATACAAAGCTAGGTTAGCGGTTTACAGCTAGCTCAGATATTGATGGTAATGTTGATGGTACCTATTCATGATACAGGAGATTTGCCATTATGAATCCCACATAACATAGTGTATGGTGTGTGTATTATGTATGTGTATTTAACGTTAGTTCTTACTACTTTAAAATATGAATCTAGCGTTGGTAACGTTATTTCCTAAATTTTTGATGACTGTCATTTTCTCTTTTACTGTGTCATTTTAATCTCAGTCTGACAATTCACTGATTCCTTGTTGTAAAGGGATAGTTATTAAAATATGACTTAAAACTTGTATTCTTATGTGATAACAAAGAATGGCATTTAGCAGGAGTGCAGCTATAACAGTTCACCCTCTACTCATTCTCTTTACTCGATTCTGCTTTAAGTCATCCATCTTCTTTTCCTTAAGTGTCTTGGAGGCTTGATGCTGTCCATCCCTGCCCTGCCCTGTGCCAAGTGTCAACATGGATGAGGAAACCCTTGAGGCAGCCATCAGTACCTATGGTGCCCAGCTGCAGCAGGTGGAGACAGCCCTGTCAGCTGGCCTGGACCCTTCCCAGCAGTCAGACCTGCTCAAACTGAAAGACGACCTTCGTCAGTTGATAGAGCTCACAGAGGCCAGCCTGGTGTCCGTCAAAAAGAGTCGGCTTCTGGCCAGCCTCGAGGACAGTAATGGACTGCAGGGAAACACCTCAGAGGCAGCAGCATACACAAACGGTGCAGGAGGCAGTGTGGATGATGAGTTTGCTGCTTTCTACTCTGCACTAGGGGAGTCGTCAGGTAGTAGCTCTGATACTAGAGGGAGAGACGATGAGGAGGAAGGTGGTGTAGAATATGGTGAAGAGGAGGAGGAGGAGGAAGAAGAGGCAGAAGATGCTCTCAGTGGTACCAAAGTAAGAGCACCCTACCGGACAGCATGGGGGACACTGGAGTATCACAATGCCATGGTGGTGGGGACAGAACCGTCGGATGGTGAAGAGGCACAAGTAAGAGTGCTCTACGTCTACCCCACCCAGAAGTCTATGAAACCCTGTCCATTCTACCTAGAGGACAAATGTCGCTTCCCGGATAATTGCAGGTAAAGTAGCACTGTTTTGTTTTGGGTTTTTTTTTGTTTGTTTTTTTTACATTTACACCTGCAAAAGTTTGCTGTATTATGTTAACTTAGCCATATCTGCCTTGTTTGTAATAGCAGATATCATCCAGCAAGTGTCACCCATTGTCCACATGACGCAGGTTTTATCCTGACCATAGCTACAGAATTCAGTCTAAAACTTGCTGTGAAATGTTGCCTTCAATAGGCCACATTACTTGAATCCTTCAATATTTACTGTAAAATCCACTTGGATATCAGCTCTGTCTGTTTCCCTTTTTAATTGAAGGTTTTCCCACGGTGAAGTGGTGTATGTGTCGGAGCTCAGAGAGTTCCTTGAGTTTGACCTCAGTAATCTTGAAGAAGGATCATCCTGCTTGGCTCGACATGAGGACGGCATCTGGTACCCAGCCAAAATCAAAGGTATTCTGTTGGCAGGGCAAATTTTTAAGATGTTTTTTTTTTTAAGTAAACTCTGACAGTTTGGGTAATCCGTTCACACTCAGATTGACTGAACTGAAATTGTGTCAACTTGTAATGATAGTAATATATTTGCACAGTGTAGCAAAAACAAACAAGACAATGGTTGAGGAAATGTTTCCAGTCAGTGTCAATGTTCTGCTGACTCATGTTTTCACAAATGCAGAACTTGACAGTGGTTTCTACACCGTGAAGTTTGACTCACTGCTGCTGAAAGATGTTGTGGTCGAGGCCGACTGCATTATCCCGCCTTTGAGAGAAGACGACCCGCTCTCCTCTGAATCAGACCTGGACGACACTGGAGATGGAGATTATGTGGCTTATGCAAAAGGTGTCAATTTCTCTGTCAATCAAAATTGGAGCTAGTCTAAGAAATAATGCAAAAGATAAAATGTGACTTAAGTGTGTTCGTACAACTGTAAAGGCAAATTATAAACTTCCTTAACTGCCTTGTATTCTATTCAACATGCTAGTAAAGATTTGAACATTTGTTTTTGAAGTTGTTTTACAAAGTAACTGACAGTTTCCACTTTGGTTGTCACTTGGTACCCAACAGTTGTGGACTCTGCTGCAGATTCCACAGAAGCATTAAACAGCGCACATTTTGGTGGCTGGGAGGCACATACCAGAGGCATCGGATCCAAGCTTATGCTCAAAATGGGATACGAGTATGGGAAAGGTAAGTGCAGGTTTAACCAAATGTTACGTTCTGAAGTTTTGTTCACATTAAAATCAGTAATTTGTGGTTTGTGGTATTCCTTTTTATTCACATAAGATGACCACCAGCATTTCATAGAAGAAGTAATGTACACAGTTCATCACATTCATGCTTTAGCTTTACAACCAATATAGTGCCACAGTTGTATTCTCATCTTACAGAAACCGACCACATGTTCTCCCTGTGTTCACATGTACTTCCCCTTGGTTTCTTTCTGCCACAAACACATGCATTCTAGATTTACAAAATCCCTCTGCCCTTGACCAAAACATTGGCCTCAGAATTTGAGTTGGTCCTTGAGCTCTGCACTGTTGTTGTCTGCTGCAACTAAATAGTTAGGATGGGTCAAATGCCGAGGACAAATTTCACCATCAACATTATTAAACTATTCAGAGTGGTCTTGTGCACATCCACAAAACCTCAGTGGGATGGGTGCTGAATGAAAAAAACACTTTGTTCATTTCTGAAGGACTGTCTGCAGCACATTGCACAAAGCAGATCTAATAACAGGCACCGTATGTAAAATACAGATACGATGTAATTATGAAGATGATGTTTTTTTAATTAACTAAAAGAGCTGTAGATCTTTGATCCATATCATTTATAACTGGATTTTGAATTTATTAACTTTGTCTGTAGGCTACAGCACAACAAAGTAGGAAATAATAATAAGCACAATTAAAATAGACACACAAAAAACATGTTACTATGTAGCCTGCTTACTTACTCGTGGTAGAAGCACAAATATCAAGGAAAAATTACCAAATCAACAAAATCTGCAAGTCTACAGAGTCGGGCAGGCAAAACACTCCACTTCTGGAATACTCCAGGTGTGATATGAGGCTGTGTGGTGGACTGATAAAACCAAGTTTCAGCCATGAATGCAGTACACCTGTGCCTGATGGAGGAGCGAGGAATTAGCAGTCATTGACAGTGTAAAAGAGTCAGTAAAACAGTTTTCAACAAATGTGAATCACATCAACCACGACGTCCTTGAGCATACAGTCATACATGTGAACACAAACTATTAGACTGATTTGTCCAGTAGTTTGCAAGAAGAGCTGCAGACAGAAAGATACACACATTCACACACACAAACGCACGAGCCCCTCCTGGCTTATGCCTGCCGGAGATAAGAAATCAATAATATTGCAATGCGGAGAGTAACCCACACACAAGAATTACAAGCTCCCTTTAGTGTAGTGACATCATAATTATCTAATTACATTCATGTATGCCGGGACATCCTTGAGACGAGGCAAATAATAAAAAGAACATTAATATGGATAGACACACAAGCACGATTCAAAGGGGTCTTGCATAAACTCTCAATTAATGGGTCACAAAATATACAATAAAAATATCAAACAGTTGTTTCATTTAAGCAAAAAGGTGGATGCTATAGGTGGACAAGACACTAGAGGGCAACATGAGTCATATAAAAAGCATAAATAATATGTCAAATGTTTATAAAAGTGTAACTTGTTCAAATCTAGTGTGTTGCAAAGTGTTTTTCTTGAGCTTTTCCTTTTGCACTCCCCTGATAAGTACATGTGTTCCTCTTCCTCACTCAGTCGCTTTTGTTTTCTCAGGCTTAGGAAAGATGCAGGAGGGTCGGGTAGAGCCGGTCATGGCAGTGGTCCTCCCCAAAGGCAAGTCTCTGGATGAGTGTGCCGAGCTCACCCAGAGACGAACACAGGGCAAGGCTGCTAAAGATGGCACACAAACAGGCCGCCCAAAGAGACGCAGGAAGCCTCGGAAGCTCGCCACCGGAGAGCGCCATACCGTCTTTGACTTCCTCAACCACAAGCTGGGAAGCAAGAGAGCTGATCCTGCTGAGGGGGGTGCTGCTGCGCCGTCTGCAGTGAGGGGGGTGGAGGCTTACAGGGGAGGGAAAAGCACCAAGAGGACTCTGAATGTGAAGCTGTTCCAGGCTGCTGAGAGGGTGTCCCAGACGGAGAGGGAGATCCAGAAACTGTCTGAGTCACTCAGCAGACAGACAGGCAGGTCAGTACTGACACCTGTGTATGTTATTTATTCCTGTATGTTTAATCTGACCTCTGTGAAGGCCGGAAACCAAACAAGACGTCATCAGTAATCACTTGAAAATCTGAAAAATCACTTAATTCCTCTGCAGCTGTTATCTTCCCCATAGAGAGTATAGGCACATTGGCCATCACACACACACATACATACATACATAAATGCGCAGCTATAATTTATTGTAAAATATGAGCACACTATTTGCTAACTTGCTGTGTCAAGAAGGTTTGTGGGAGTTGTGTAAAAAATGTAAATAAGGTGCAAAGATTTGAGGTTAGACACTTGTTTCCGTGGCCAAGTCATTCTGAAAAGTGCATCTATAACCAACTTGTCTTTGCGTCTCTCCCCACTTCCTAATCTTTTTGTTATTTGTTTCTGCAAAGGGACGCATCCAGAGTGAAGCAGCTGGAAGAGAAGCTGTCAGCGGCCCGCCGGCTGCTGGCCCAGCAGAAAGCCCAGGAGCTGTCCATCCAGAGAGAGCACAAGAAGGCTGACACACACAAGAAGATGACTGAGTTTTAGGCTCAGTTCTCTCAAAGACTTGGAGGATAAATGGAAGCACTGCCTGCCTAAAATGAACTTTTGTCCCTTTCCTGTTGTCAGTTATTTGCAACACTGTTTTTTAAAAAGACATTTTTTAGCATTATTTCTCACTGGCAGCGTGGACTGGAGCTGGCAGTGGTGCAGAATAGATCATTTTCTATGTTTCTCGTTTTATTTTCAAGGACTGAGCAGTTCAGTTGTTTGGTTTCAAATAATACACTTCACAATAATGCTGCAAACGAAATTTTATTTGTGATGAGCATTTAGTCTCAGTGTATTTTTCTTCGTCTGCACTAAAAACTCTGAGTTTGGAGAACCTGCTGTGTATTTTTCTTTCTTTTTAACCGTACACCTTCACACAACTACACTCCAGTGTAAGGAAATGTTTCTCTACCACAGAATTTTTAATGTGTTTTTTGTTAGACTCTTCCAGGAGAGGTTTCAATAATTCTGACCGGAGGCTGCTCAGGCGGTCAGAGCGGTAGCCATACCTTGACTTGGTTTTTTGACTGATTTTTAAATTACATCCTCCGGAGTTTGGAGACCTTTACACAGTTTTGAAGTGAAGCCCATCCATTCGCCCACCTCTCTTACCGGCTTATACACAGCGTCTTTGAAGCTACGACCGTAACCTCTCTGTTAAATAATGAATCTGAAGAGCAGCTTGTCTAGTCATAGATCGGACACACATTGTCTGTAGGTGGTGGGTGTGTTGGGTATTGACTGCATCTATCTTGCTGCCTCTCAGACTGTCAAGTAAAGGTTTAAGTCGTGATGTTAGGTAGCTGGAAGTGAGGTCTTCATTCTTATGGGCAGTGTTTAATCTGAATGTGATACAGCATAAAAACATAGCAAAATTAAAAACAAAAGTATTTGCTGAATATATTTAAAGGGACAGTTCCCCCCAAATCAAAAATACAAATTTCTCCTCTTACCTGTAGTGCTTTTTATCACTATGTTTACATGCCCACTAATTTTTTCAGTATTATTCTGAATATAACAATACTCTGAATTTGATACAGGTCATGTAAGCAGCATATTTATTTAGATATACTGAATGTTTTCCAAATCTAGCATTTTTCTAGCATTAAGACATGTTTGACATACTGATATTATTTGGGTTTTAGGAGCATCCCATGGACAAGTCTAAGACAGCGGAATATGCATTTCAATTGGGGGTTTTATCGCCATTTGTGACACACAGCATCTTGTTTATGGTGAGCTCTGTGCATTGTACATTGACACATTGTACATACACCAACTAACCAACAGTTTGCAAGGCTGTGGGGTAGAGATGCATGCCCAAAAGATAAGCCCACATTACTGATTGAAAGAAGCAAAAACCCCTACGTTAAATACTATAAAAGACTTGCAGACTAACAGGATTTTGGATATGTGCAATTATTGCAATGCTGAACTTTTCAAGAAGCTGGCTGGAGGAATGAGAGAGGACAGCTGTGTTCACATGGTTGAACCAGTCGCTCACCAGTGGAAAACTTTGGAAAAATCCTGGTACAAGCGTGTTCCAGTCTTCCATATTTTTGATGTGATAAACAACATGTTGGAGCACATGATGCACGACTGCATGTAAGCAGGGAGATTAATGTAATATTTATTTTATTGGCCATGTATGCAGTTTAGTAGGAATATGGTCTTTTTTGGAAAAAGGGCAAACACCAGAATATTTTGCACATGAAAACGAAGTCAATCTAGTTGGAGATATCGGCTGTAGAGATGTCTGCCTTCTCGCCAATGTAATAGAACTAGATGGCACTCGGCTTGTGGTGCTCAAAGGACCAAAAAATACATTTGAAAAACGCAACAGCAATGTGTCTTTCCAGAAATCATGAGCACATTACTCAAGATAATCCACAGACCTTGTTGTGAGCAGTTTCATGTGGGAACTTTTTCTTTCTACTGCACTACACCCGCCAACCATATCACTGTGCAGAAGGGAGTGTGCACAATGGTCAAGAGGCTCGTGCTCGTAACAGCATGAGATGTAAATGTTGCACAGTGATACAGTTGGCAGGTGTAGTTCGGTAGACAGAAAATAGTTCCTTCATGAAACTGCTCACAGCAAGGTCTGTGGATTATCTTGAGCAACCAGGTGTTGATTTCTGGAAAGAGACATTGCTGTTGAGTTTTTCAAATGTATTTTTCTGGCGCTTCATGCACCACAAGCTGAGTGCCATCTAGTTCCATTAATGGGAGAGAGAGCAGACATCTTCATGGCTGATATCTCCAACACTCTTCAAGTCACACCAAAACAATCTGGACTGATAAATAGCACTACAGGTATTTGGGGGTGAACTGTCCCTTTAACTTTTTAAAAAATAAATACTTCCAAAAGAATAAGGTCAGGTAAAATATGCTGAAGTTGGAGTTACCCTGAGTCCAAAAAAGAAAAAACAGTTAGGAAAGTGACAATCAGCAAGTCATAGTGTTGTCCCTAGGGGCACGGAGATAGTAAATACCTTGTTAAAGCAATAAGCAGGGAGATACAGTGCACTTTATAAGCCCTCCCTGAAGTCTCTAGATGGACTCTGGTGGATCAGAGGGCAGCTGCACATGCAGAACTCATGAACCCTCCACTCAATATCCTGAGGGGAGCCCCGCTCGCACTCTGATCTGTTGAGTGGCAGCACTTTAAGATTGCTGGTGACTGCAGGGATCACACTGAAATTGCTGATCGCTGGGGAAAAATGGCAAAATGCAGCATGTGTGTGTTGATTTAATGGGATCCCTTGAGGGTCTGTGCTTCACGCTTTAGCCCATTTATGAGCCTCTGGTCTCTGAGGGTATTGCTGCCCAGCCAACTGCAGATTTACTGAGTGTGTGTGTGTGTTCAGGTCTAGGCGTGTTGTCTACATCCTTGGCCGTTTGTATGCACTGCACACTCCTGCAGATGTCTGTCTCGTGTATGGATTCAGACTGGGCTATTAGGAGAGTTTTGGCTGCTAATCGCCACTTATCAGAGCTTGGATTATGTGATTAAGGAGATGTGATGGGCAAATTGATTGGAAGGCCAGCTTGACAGATGTTTTACTTAAGCTGTCCAGCTGAGGGCCACCAGGCTACCAGAGATGACCTATGAATGTGTTGAGTAGTCTGAGCTTTCTAGTGTTTATCCACCTGGCTTACAGTGGTTTCAGAAAGTTGTAAAATGAATCAACTTTTTTTTCCAGAACTTTTAAACTGTATCACAGTCTTTGCTGGATGCAACAGTTGCTCAGTTGTCAAGGAGATAAATCATTTGACATGCGAACTAAGTTATAATTTCATCATTTTTAGTCACACTAGCTGCATGGCTATGTCAGTCAGTCTGTACACCACTGTGGTCCACACAGAAATATTTTAACATCTATTGAATTCATTGCCAACAAATTTTGTGGACACATTCATGTTCCCCAGAGGATGAAGCCTGATGATGTTGGGTTTTTTTTTTTGATTATTTTTTTGGGCTTTTGCCTTTAATGTACAGGACAGAGTGAAATGGGGTGAGAGAGAGAGCGGGGGGTGACATGCAGCAAATGGTTGCAAGCCGGAATCAAACCTGCGACCGCCGCGGCAAGGCATCGCCTCTGTACATGGGGCGCCGGCACTATCCACTACACAAACAACGCCCCCTGATGACGTTGGTTATCCCCTCATTTTTCCCATTAGTGTCACAAGAAGGCCATATTTTCAGTTATCCTGTGAATTATCTGAACATCTGCCAGATGGATTTGCACAAAATTTTGAACAGATGTTCGTCCCAGACGGTGTATCCTAATGACCATGATAATTCTGTGACTTTCCCTGTGGTGCCATTGTGAGGTTGACATTTGTTATTTTAAGTAAAGTGTTTCAACAACTCTCAGATGGATTGCCATGAGATTTGTTACACACATTCATAACACCCACTGGATAAATTGGAAATAAATCTGGCAACCCCTTTTTATCATCAGGTTAGATTTTCAATTTGTCCAGTACTTTGGTATGATCCAATACCTGCAAAATTAATGACATGAAGTGCTACAGTGATGATGTATTTTTCTGTACATAAACAAAAGTTTATGATAATTACACTTTTTTTTCAACAAGATAATCTTCACAAATGAACACTACTTTTGTCATTTTTGAAGTGTAAATGCAATCACCACCAAGTAAAAAGCTAACATTAGGCAATAGATTAACTATACTGCAGTTGCATGACTTCAACATTGCCACTACAACAAAGCTGTAAAGCCATGTTCACTGTGATGACATTCTGTAGTCTCATTTAGCCACTTGTTAGCAACCCCCTTTTATAAGACTCATAGAAGCTTTAAAATTCACAAGTAGAGTATTTATTGACTTATTTTATGCTGTAGAACAAAATGTAAAAATCTCTTAAGCTTGTGTTAACCACACACCTTAATTCAGATGCCTAACTAAAAATCTTTCAAACAACCCACTGACTTTGAGACTAGTGAGCCAGACGTGTAAAAATGCTAACTCATCCCTGTACTTTAGAGCTCATTTCTGTGTATCACTCTGCTCCATGTAGTATATAGCATGTAGAATGTTATACCTGCTTAACATCAGCATAATAATAGCACCTTAAGTTTGATCCTGAACTATGACATCTAAGGTTTAGTTCTTCCTTAGCTGAGGAAATTACTATGGGGTGTTGCACAGAACACCTTCCTAGATGGTTTCCTTAGTCAAGGAAAGACATGGGAGGAAACTGCAACGTTTGGACGGGAACTTCACCACCATGTTCAGCAGTAGGGTGAGGGTATTTGAAACCCAATGCATGACGCAGCACACTGTTGACTTGGAATGGAAAGATCCCATTACATAAAACCATAACACATTCATTAATTGTAACAGGGCTGGAAGAGTCCAGCTTCCAAAAGTTAAATGGTCCAAATCATAAATTGACCTCCGGTGAAATTTAAGATGCAAAATCAATTACTCATCATTAAGGGTGCTCATCGGGTTCTTCTCAGGATGCTTTAATTTTCCTCATTGATCACTATAAACTCAGTCACGTTGCCAATAACATGCAGTCAGAGGTACCTTATGTTTTTTTCCTTACTCTGGTTGCTAAGATCCTCTGTGCAATGGTTTAAGTATAAGACCAAGATAAGGAGAAAATGTTAGGGAAACTTTAAGGAGAAGACTTAATGTGTTTTGTGCAACTGATTTTTTTTAAAGGAAAACTTAACTCTGATTTAAAGGAAAATCTCCACTTGAGGTGCTTTCTGCAACCGGCCCCAGGTTTCCTTATACATTCGTTTTGTAAGCATGTTAGCATGCTAACTTTAGCATTTAGCTCAAAACACCACT